TTTAAGTTTAATGTCAGATTCCCAAAAACCTCCAAGTAACGAGATTCGAATCATTTTAATGTGGATCAGAGCGCATGAATAAAAAATCGTTTGATTTTAGATGCAAAACTGTGATTTTATTTTTTTATTAAAAATTATAAATTAATTCAAAACTATTAATTAGTTGGAAACATGCCGTAAATTGAAAATTGAAAAATAATTAAAAACTGACAAACCAATTAAATTGAAAAGACAAATTAATTTAGAACAAATATTAATAATTCATTGACGATATTATCTATACTAATGGAGAATGCATATAATTTAGTATAGAAGACTTATAATTAAAGTGAAAATTTATAAAGTGTAATCAAGAAATAATCAAGATTGCTTATTGAAACTATTATATGCGGAATTAAGAAAAAAAGTTTAATTACTTAATTGGTTGTGATGATACTCGGAACCAATACTATATAAGCAAGTTTGCTAACTTTGTAACCTTGCACATTCGAAATTATTTTTATATTTCAAAAATACTTAATTATTAAAGTCTTCGACCGCAATATTTTTTGCAAGGATTTTATAGAACAGTGTGATTTTATTATCAATATTGGTAAAAATGTTTTTTTCTATAAATTCTTTTTCACAAGCCATTTTTGAGACCATAATTTTTGAATTATATTATACTAAAGCACAACAATTTTAAAGGACCAACACTTTGTGAATAAAAAATGAGTGCTGAGTTATTACCATAAAACTCGAAGCATACACATATATTGGCTAAACTTGAAGACCAATTTCAAGTAGTGTCCCATTAAGAAAATGACACGCAATAACGCGACATTTCCGAGAATAAGGAACGCATTTCACGATCATTCGCACGATTGTAACGACATAACGGGGACCCTCAAGCAGTTTCACGGTAACTGAAACCGAATCGCCTTGACTCACGAGAACGTCGCGTTAAGAAATACCAGGGGTATACGACTTTTAGCACATATAAAAAAAAAGTCTCGCATTTATTTCGGCAAAAATTTAAAAGGGCAGACATTCAAATGTGCCGTTTAAATAATCTTCCCTTTCCTTTGCTTTTGTGTGCAATTTTTGTCTCGTTTGACACACAACTTCACGAACAATCTAATTTTAAAAGTGAAAATCTATTATGTTTGAAGAAAAAGAATATATTATTTAAAATTGAGAGAAATTGAGTTAAAAAAAATTACATAATTATTTGAAAACACAGTTAGTTCTTTTATAATATAACTCAATATTTCTAAAGAGGATATATACCTGTTTGTCTATACTTGGTTCTGTTATTAAGTTCTAGCTATTCTTCTATTATTACAGGAAGTTCCTTTATGCTGATGATCTTGAAACGTTTTCTTTGAGACAGAGTTTTTTGTGGTCATAAAACGATGCAGGAAAATTGGTGGGCGTTTCTTTGAATATTTACTATCAGAGCACCTTTGACAGTTTGCAATATTTTCTTGTTTATTACCATTCATAAGTGCAGACAATATCCGGGTTTTTGCGCAAAAATCTTTCTGAATCTTGGAAGAATGTTAATGTTGCTAGTTTTTTTATAATTAAGAAATTCATGTCCTTCAGGTAGGAAAAGTTTTTTCACGTAGTAACGTTAAAATATATGAACATATACAGAATATGTATATGGTTAAAGTGAAAAAAAATTTTGTTTCGTTTTTATTCAAGAATATATTTTTCATTTTCCCTGTATTGAACACTTTTTTATGTTTATTACTAAGAATTTAAATGACACATGTAGGAAAATTATATGTCACGAATAGTAAGTCTATTAAAAATTGTATTAGTATCAACTAAAAATTGTTACCTACTTATTAAGGTTATTTCTACAACATTATTTTTAAAAAACAAATGAAGAGCAATTTTTTAAATATTGATAAAAACATTTTTCAACAAAAAATTGAGATAAACACATATTCAAAATATTAAAATCTTTACAAATCGATTTATCATTGTTTAATTCAAGAAAAAAAATATATTACCAAAAAATTGTTAATCAAAAAAATATTTTGGCCTAACCTTGATGATTTTTAATTTTAATTTTTTTATTAGAAAAAATTACCAAAACCTTTAAATTCCCTTATTACAACAGATTTTAATTACAAACAGAGCGTTTTAAATAGAAAAAGTATTCAAAAATGAATAATTTATTACTATTTTTCTATACATTAAAGTTAATTCTAATGGTTATGTGAGAAATTTAAAATAACGAAATTTCTTTGTTTATTTTCCAGAATGAAATTTAATTTTAATAATAATACTACAACACATTTAAAAAAAATTTATAAACTTTGAAAATATTCAAATTTAAGTATTAGATTTTTATTGAAGTCAATAATAATTTTTGAAAATAATATTCGATCATTCAATAAATGTTTCAGAATTTTTTGAACAAAGCAATAAATTTACAAAAACTGAATAACTGAATAATATATATTTTTTAAACTTTTTTTAACATGATTTTTATGCGTAATAGATATGAAATATATTTCATAGAAATTATTTTAGAGAAAATAAAAAAAAAAAAGAAAAGATAGATAATAAACGTTTTTGAATGGATTTTCTGCTATAACAGAGTTTAAATTTTTATAGTATTTTTGCTTGGCCATAGAGGAAGTAATATTTAAACTCCGCCATTAACAGTTTTTATCAATTGAAAATTCATTCAAAAACGTTTAATTTCGACTTATCCGCTTTAAAAAAATCCACGTATCTTTTTTCACTAAACGAACAACATAAAATTAAGTAAAAAAGATTTTATTATTTTATTAATATTATCATTACGAATCAAGTGCATTTTTAAAAATTCAAAATGGTGGATCTAATATGGCGGACATATTTTTTGGAATTTATCGGACTTGCTTGAAACATACCTAGTCGGGGGTTTTCGGGGTCGCTGACTACGAATCTAAAGTCAATTTTTAAAAATTCAAAATGTCGGATCCAATATGGCGGACATTATTTTTAATTCATCAAATTCGCTTGAAACTCTTTAATACCTTCGTGGATTTAACACTTATTACTTTTTTTAATTTTTACATTTTTTGTGTTCTTTTTTTCCCTTATAATAATTAAACAATAAAATTGGAATTCCAAACATTAAATATTTTAGCAAATTAAATTTAGAGTTAACTGAGATTTTAATCATTTTAAAAAATTTTAATTAAGATTTATTAAATAATATATGAATTGATTAAAATTGCGGAAGGTAAAAATTGAATAAAATTCAAAAATGTGTCATTAAAAAAATACAACTATAAAAACTGTTAAGTCTTATTATTTATCTAATATCTCGATTGTACTGGTTAACATAAAAATATATTTGTAACATCTTTAATGGTACCTGATAACATTTATACTTTTTACCATCAAAATCTTATCATCCATTTCTCTCAGTGTAGAAACTAAACTTCTGATTAAAAATATTTTAAAAATTTACAAAGTAGATGAAAATTAACGAAATAATAGCTATCAGGACGCAGTTTTTGGTGTCGCTTTATAAATCTGAAATCATATTTTCAGAATTTAAAATGTCCAATCCAATATAACGGATTTAAAGAGGTCAAAATTGGTTTACTGTAAATGTTTTCCATAATTTATTTTCATATTTCAGATTTTCTACAACATAAAAATTGAGGCTTTAAAGTTGTCGACGATGAGTTATATATATTTAAATTTTAAATTGTGACTGTAATTTACTTGTGAACCTTATTATTTTTTTAACCAATTACAAGTAACATTTTTAATTTTAATAACAATAATTTAAAACATCCACGCGGCAATTAAATAATGAAAAAGAAAATTAATTTTCACTCGTTTTCAAAAGTAATAAACCGAAACTTGCAGCAAAAATGACATTCTCACTATAAAAAAAAGGTTCTAAATTAGAGCTGATTTCGGTACTAAAATAGAACCAAATTACGATTTAGTACCAATTTTGGTACTAAATTAGTACCTTTCTTTTTACAGTGGCTCTCAACGAGTCCAACATTGAAAATGTTATCAATATTGCTGCAAGTTTCGATGCTCTGTGGGAATAATATTGTGGTAAATTTGCTGCTTGAAATCAGCTATCTGCATGTATAATTGTCCGACATTGAATCTCGAGTTTGGAGCATCTGAAAATAAAAAATTGAGGTATTTTCTTAAAAAGTAAAACTCTTCTGTAGTTATCGTCTGAACTGCGAACTTTTATATCTCTAATAAAAAAACAACATGGACTTCTTTGTTTTAACTTTTCAACACTTTTTACATCTCGAGTTTTTTCAAAAATATGGTTTAATGTTAATGAATATTTATATCGTTTTACTCTCAGAGCTACTTCTTCATTATATATTATTATTTCAGTTTCTTTAAAAGCTTCATTTTAAAGCGATAGTTGCTATTCTCCTATCACGAATCTATAGAAATTTGCCATCAATTCTCATCCCTATACCATGTGTCTTGTGATGGAAAGGGAAATCCGCCTAATATATAAGAATATTGTAATATGATAATGACTTATATTCTAAGAACGAATTGCTTAGTCTCTCCTGTGCCAAGAAGACAATTCGAGGTTCAAAAAATCATAGGATCATCGATGTGGTCATCTTATCATGTTAATAAGTCTCTCTCGTTTTGTTTATTGTTGAATCGAATTAAATTTTACATAAATACTTTTATAGATGAACGTTGATATTTTATATATGGATTTGTTTATTTATTTAATTTATTTGACGTCTCTTGATGAGTTATAATCTTATAAAAATAAAGATTTGTATTATTGATGATGATTGAATCATCTCTTTTTTATTTTTTGTTTAATCATTTAGCTATAAATACAATAACTCCCAATCCACTTCAAAGACTATTATGAATAACAATAATTAAATGTTCAGCGTCGAAGAAAATGAATTATGATCTTTATTAAACATATACTGCTAAATGCAATGTTCATCACTCATATAAATTGAAGACAAAATTTATCTTAAAGGACTCACCAGTGTCGGTGTAGATTGTAGGGATCTAAGAGCCGAATCACCCCACTTCCCTTGCCTGCTGGAGTGTATATTACTTCTGTGCTCGGGATAAAAGCGTTTTGATGCCGGAGGTGTATTAGAGGAATAACGAAAGCCAGAATAAGAGTTCACTTTTCTCTGTTGAAATTCCCGATCGTATCTAGCATCGAAAAAAGCATCATTTGCGCCTCCTACTGTACCGAAGGGTCCTCCGGTTATCCTATTTGGAGACCGTTCACTTTGGAAGGGTCTGTAAAATTGTGAAAACCCAAAACCCTGGGGAAAGCCAGCACCGACGGAACTAAAAGCAGGATTGATTTGTGAAAATCCGGGAAACTTGGTATAATCAATAATTCCACTTGCAGGTGGAACAGTAGATTTAATGTCTTGATATTCGTTTCGTTGACGATATTCCTCGTTCTTGGGATCGAAAACCTCCTCGTCGAAGACCTCCAGCTTAACCTTGACTTTTGTCTTGCGATCTTCATCTACGCCATCGATTTCACTCTTCACTGTTAGAAAGTGACGGGAAATATTTAAATCCTGCTCGGGAATTATTGACGAATTCTTTTCAGAATTTCCTAAACTTGCAAGCTGCATTTTTCGGAATTTTTAAAATTCCCCGGAAAGAATCATCGCTAAAAATTGTTTGAAATTATATCCAGAGAGTCTGTTTACCATTTGGAAAAAAGAGGTTTCTGGGCTGCAATGTCGATCCTCATTATTCCTTCGTTTACTCAAGCGAGCTCGTAAAACGCGAGTGCATTTCGCAGAGTAAACACTTGTCTCACGAAATACGGGGGAAAATCGAAGGTTGATGATTTTCTCTTCGGCCAAGGGGGGGAGGGAGGGAGGGGGGTCGATAATCGGCCAAAATAAAAACCCGAGTCAAATCACTAGAATATAAACAAAAGAAATTCTTCACTCGGAATATGACCGGAGAACCGAAGTGCCGCTTCGTATAGGATCGGCTCGGTTTTCGGTCGGATGGTGGGGATGGGAGGGGAGGCAAGGGCGGCGTGACAGTTTCCGTGTCACGTGTCTCCGACCTTAGGCCCCGCCTACGAATCCGTTTTTCCCTCCGGAGGATCGTTACCTGGCTGGCCACAATCCCTGCGGAACGTCATTCGTCGCAGGCTCGTGGAATTGGGAGGACGAATTATATCGAGTTCCTATATATTTCACACACTCCTGATGCTCTCTTTATTCTTTTCAACACACTGAAAACGCGAACATTCTCCAGGAACTCTAATTATGAGTTGGAGTCGCACTAATACCGTTTCTTTAAAAATTTTGGCAAGCACAATGCTTTTTGTTGCATTGCCGTGTCGTCACTGAGGGGGAAATTCTCTTTGGACTTGGTCAGGGGGATTGGGATTTGAATATTTTCTGTCGTCAATTTAATCGATGGAAATTGTCGACTGTCAATTTGCAAAAGAAATCGAACGCGAAATGCTCATAACGTTTAAGAAGCAGCCGGGCCCGGTTAAGCTGATCGCGTACGAGTTTCGTTCCACGCAGCGTGAAACTCTCAGTTGGAGGTGCACAGCCAGCGCCAAATAGCGAGAAGCCACGAATCAAACCGAACACTCCCGAGAGCATTACCTTCGAGGATCGCACTACGCCGCCACTGTCGACCTTCCTTCCCGCCTTCCGCGCGCATGCTATAGACCCTATTTTACAAATCTAGTCCTTACATATATATTAAGGCGTCTCGTATGTTTCCTATGCGACACAATCAGAAAATTTATTTCTTTTAAGTGTATTAGTCATTATAAATAATTTTTTCGTAGGAAATTGTGAAGAACATTTCTATCTATAATTATGACAGTATACTTAGTCTTGTTGTGGATCAACCGAGCCAATAGCCTAATAGGATCCAAGTATTTAAGATACACGCAGAAAATGGAATTGTTGTGGTAACTAAAAATTAAGTCCACACAACAGTTCTGGATTGTCAATATAGAACTAACAATTCTAGTTGTTGTTGAGACAGAGAATAAATTTTAAAAAAGAATTGTTATGAAAACTATTTAGATTTGTTCCATGAACAAGCAGAATTGTTATGGATAAGTTGACTGACAAATCTAGATTGTCATTTTGACAAAACAATTTGTTTCATTAATTATCGTTAAATTAATATATAATTTAATAGAAATAATCAAATCGCGCACTTTTTTCCGGAGCATAACTAACTTATAAAATCACTTAATTTAGAATAAAACACTAAAAAAGAAGAGCGGCACATATCTGCAAGATGCAAGACGCTCAAGTATACGGAAATGTACAGGGATGACAACGTGAACAATTAACCTGTTAGTCTAACAAATCCGAATTGTTCCAGGCAGGAGATTTGCTTCTACAACAATATGGAATTGTAAACTGAACAGGCTGATTGTAACTAATTTGTATTGTTGCTAAAACAAGATAAATTTGTATTGACAACAATGCGAATTGTAATTTCAACATTCCTAATTGTATCAACAAAAAATCTACTAATGACAATCCAAAAATTGTTTGCACAACAACACCTTCTTTTTCTGTGCGAGTGCTAACTAATAACAAGAATTAAAACTAATATTGTATGATTATAAAAGTTAATTTTGGCAGAGTTATCATATAAGCAGAGTTGTGTGTTTGAAAAACTCTAACTCTCAGGGCTTGTGAAAAGGATCTTTAAGGACGCTCTTTTTTTCTCGTTAGGCGCAGTTACACGGATGATATATGGGTTGGTATACATATATTCTTCTATAGGGTATATTATTTTATACATCTATAAGGTAGGGTATGTTGCGTCCTTTGTCTCGACAAAAGAAGCTATAGACAAGGCAGAATAGGGTTCCAACTCTCGCGTCTTTCTTCCTTTCTCCTCTCTCTCTCTCTTCTCGTGCAGCTACGTCGATATCCTCTATATTACCGCGGAGGAGAGAATTGGCGCGATGCGTAGGTATATAGGTGCCTTACGTATGTACTTTCGCAGCGGGATGACTGGTGAGAGAATTCAATTTCCGTCGTCGTTATCCGTGCCTCCATCTTCAGTTCGGACGAAGATCACCCGTCGTTTCTTGTTTCCTTACACACACCCCTCGCATATATACGTCCAAAGAGAAAAGATAGAAGTCACTCTCCACAATAAGTAAACTATTATTCTTGTTCCGGATTTCATGGCGCTGCATTTTTAATTATCGATTATTAGAAAAAGACATTACTTCCATAATATTAGAAATCAGGACATTAGTATATACACATAATTCGCTTGCTTCATATAGTGAAATGTTAATGAGCGCATCAAAGTTCAGTTCATATGCGCTCATCTCATTTTACATGCGCGCACTCCGAAAGTGTGTTGAATCAAAGCAATCAGATAAACAGTTATTTCAATATAACAGAGAGAAGATATATATTAGAGAAGGAAATAAATAGGACTTCTGGTCACCACAATCATAAAATGAAAGAGTGACACAATCTCACCAGCGCGGAAATTGCGGAGGCAAATAAGACACGTTTTTGATTTTGCTCTTTAAGTGGGATGAGAGCCAGTGTAGAAATTTATCACATATTCAAACTGATGATCTTCTCAAAAAGACCGTTTCGTTAAACTCGCACTTTTAACTTGAAAAAGTAAAAACTTTTAAGACATTATTTTTCGCTTTTTTAGTAAAGCATTTACCGGAAAATTACATCCCCAGTAGCAGGTAATGTTCCAGTAACATTGACAACATTGAAGCAATATTAATAATGTTAAGGCATGTTCTCAACTATTGTAATACTATATACGTGCTACTGGGGATGTTGTTGTCTGGTATAGATCCTCTAAATTTTCAGAGTTGATAACGGAATTAAAGTATCAATACCAAATTTTTTTCTCATCTCTCTACGACCCTTTCAATCTTTGGAATTCGTTAATACTATTCCTAGAGTTCAATAAGAAGATTCTTCAGTAAATTGCTTTACAAAGACACTGATTAACAAACTTTCTTTAAACATTTTCGAAACGTCACATTTTTGACGATACATTGAATTTTTTATTCAATTTTCACCTTCCCATGATCATTTAATCTATTAATATCAATTAAACTATGGAAGGAATAAATTCTTCAAATATCCCGGTAAGAAGGCTTGAATAGAAAGGTATTAGAAATTATTTCATCATCAATAGGAAGACGCAAATTTTAAATACTTTTGAATTCATTTTTGTCCGCTAGATTTGAATACTTCTATTAAGACAAATTCGTCTGTAAAGCGAATCCTTTTCAATACTCAAAGTGTACAAATATGTATAAAAACCGTACATTAACTTTACGGACCAGGACAGTTGGTTGAGAATAAAATTCCACGACAAAAACTGTCTAGCTGTATTAGGCTAACACTAAAATAGGTAGGCCGCGACAAATTTCTACACGGGGAAGCAGTCGTCAATTGGCATAAAAAAAGAAACACACATAATCAACTTTAAGATTGTGATTACGCTACTGCGAATTGTGGGTCACTGAAGATAGTGGAAGGCCGCAACCCTCGACCGATCAAAATTCGTTTTGACTTAACGCTCCGGCGAATTTCAGCTTCATTACATAATCGACTTGTGCGCTGCCCAGCTGTCTATACGCTTATAATAAAAAGGGAGAACGCAAGATCCGGCGGATATTTAACGAAATAATTTTAAAACCCTCGGGATTTGCGAAACTAATAATACGCGTTTAATTTATGCTAATGGAAATTTAATAAATAGTTCCTAATAGGATCGATAATTTTGATTTGCTTCGATGTCTGAATAGAATCGATTAATTCGAATTGATCTGAATAAAACTGTAACGTCTGATAAGCTAACGTTGCAGAAGGTCCGTTCTAATGTCGTTCTCCGGATAAGAGAAGCGCGACAATTGTCCAAGGACGAGGGGGGCGTGTGTCACCGAAGTTTGGGGACAGATCGAGCCAATGAGAATTGAGAAGGCGTGGATCGGGAAAGTGGAGACACTCCGATGTTTGTCTCAGTTTGCGGGGAGATTTCTCTGTCGCCGATCCAAGCGACGGAGGGGCAAAGTGGTGGGGAGCGAGTGAAGGGGTTGTAGGGGAAATGTCGCGAGGTGGGGAATGAAGGACACGCCTACCAGAAGCGTGGTGGGGTAGTCCAGCGCTGACAGCGCACTGTGGCATCTGGTACAGATACGACATCCTACACAATGACGTGGTGTGCAGTTTGTATTTACACTGATACGTGAATGTGTGGAGATAGCTCACCCGCGCTGTGTGCGGGTGGACGGCCTTTCAAGTGTACTCGTGCGCACTTGCATGCTTCATTCTTGTATTTGTGCCTATTCCTATATACACCCAGAGGCTCCATCATAAATTTTCTTTCAGTGCTTCATTGTCAGGGACAGCGTACCCGGTGTTTAATGCAACAAAAAAAAAAACGTGCGATCCGGATGTCATTCGAGGAGCAAATTACTTGATTTGATGTTCGGTACGTCACACAACCAATAAGTGGTCGTTGAAAGACAAAAGGAGCTTCCATGTGCCAGATGACGGCGCACAGGTTTCGCATATATGCGTGCAGGACACGTGTGTAATTAAGTCTACTTGGACAGGAACTCGCATAGATCAGACTGAAATAGGAGCATTGC